TGTTACTGATTTGATGTGGCTATTAAAATTTAAGTCTGAGTCCAGTATTACCCCTAGATTTCTGACCTTGTTTGAAGGTTTTAGGGAGAGAGACTGTAGATGACAGATGACGCTCTCTCTTTGTTTCTGGGGACCAAAAACAATCATTTCGGTTTTGTCTGCGTTTAGCTGAAGGAAGTTGTTTTGCATCCACTCACTGATCTGTTGGATACAGTGAAGGAGTGAGTCCACTGGTCCATGTTCTCCTGCAGTCAGTGAGACATAGATCTGAGTGTCGTCTGCATAGTTATGATAGGAAACTTCGTTTCTGCGTATTAACTGACCTAACGGCAGCATGTAGAGATTGAACAGAAGAGGTCCCAGGATCGACCCCTGTGGGACTCCACAGGTCAGGGTTTAGTGTTAAGTGTCTTGCCCATGGACAAAACAACAGCAGACGTCAGTGGGAGCTCAAACCCACGACCATTAGGTCCAAAGACCAGTGCTCTACCAACTGAGCCACTGTCGCCCCAGTCTAAAGTAAAATGTTGTATGGATATTTTCCAAAAGTCAGCATTCTCCAATGAATTTTCACCTGATCCACTTGGTTGGGACCATGAATCCTCTCTGCTCTGGTCTGGACCAGTGTAAAACCATGAATCCTCTCTGCTCTGGTCTGGACCAGTGTAAAACCATGAATCCTCTCTGCTCTGGTCTGGACCAGTGTAAAACCATGAATCCTCTCTGCTCTGGTCTGGACCAGTGTAAAACCATGAATCCTCTCTGCTCTGGTCTGGACCAGTGTAAAACCATGAATCCTCTCTGCTCTGGTCTGGACCAGTGTAAAACCATGAATCCTCTCTGCTCTGGTCTGGACCAGTGTAAAACCATGAATCCTCTCTGCTCTGGTCTGGACCAGTGTAAAACCATGAATCCTCTCTGCTCTGGTCTGGACCAGTGTAAAACCATGAATCCTCTCTGCTCTGGTCTGGACCAGTGTAAAACCATGAACAGAAACATCTCCGACAGAAAATGCAAGAAAACTAACATTTATAAAGCAAAAGACCACAGTAAAACTACATTGGAATAACTGTGCAAGACCCCCCCCCAGTGTGCACAGGACCAGTCAAATAAATAAATAAAACACATTGGACGTCGAAGTCTGGCTTTAAACCGAGGCTGGATTTCTTGAGGCATAAGTCGGGTCAAACTGTGGCCAGGGATCCACAGAAGCTTAGATTATCTCCATCCTCCGCTTCTGTGACCGGGCGCCTGATTCTCACCTTTGTCTAACCCCAGGAGGTCTCTTGGAATCAGCTCAAAGACTCAGCGACGACATGTACGTCCCGAGCTCTGACCCCACTTTCTGCTTTTAAGACATTTATGGACATTTATGCAACATTTCACATACTGGCTCGAGGTTCATACAAATATGTAAACAAGAAAAGTTGTCTGAAAACATGAAAAAAGGCTTAAAACTTCACTGCTCAGACTTGATTGTGAAGTATTTTAAAGGAGCAGTGTGTAAACATGTGGCCAAAAGTGGTACTGCAGCCTCTCCCACTGTCCCTGACTCAGGTTGCCAGATATGCAGACGAATCCAGCTGGGACCATAACAGCTGAATAGACAAGAGTTTTGTCAACAACAAATCTATAACCAACACCTTTTTCACAAAGATAGAAATCCTGGTTTTATTCCTTGTTTTGTCGTTAATGATTTGAGAATCATAACGAGAGCTTTTTTAGTTCTGCGCCACATGGTACTTTACCAGTGAGATTAGCTCCACGCGGTGAGTTCTGGCGCCCGGATCACAGACTTTCTGATTGGTGAAACGGTGGAGGGCGGGACATCGAAATGAAAACAATAACAAGATTTAGAGGCTGGAAAAGTAATTTAGAAATCCAAATATCTCTGAACTACTGTTATCAGTTAAAGAAGTATTGGAAAAGAACATGTTTTTTTAATGCCTTTGGACGGATTAGGGCCCTTTAATAACATGAAAATCTTACATATTGCTACTTCAAAACTAGTAGAATAATCTTATGACAAACTACTGTCAACAAAAACTTGCCATTAAAGAAATAAGCATCATTTATGTTATTTTTAAACCATCTCTGTCTGTTCCCAGAGCCCTCCAAATGTCATTCACAGTCGTTTGCTCCGAGCAGACTTTGATTGATCATGTATTTGTATCTATTCATAGAGGCCAAATTCATCATTCCAATTTGTCAACGTGCCGCCGTAGTGCTGAGTTAATTATGTGTGCGAGGAAACAAAAAAAAAAAAACGGCTTGTGTTTAGGCTCATGCGAGGTTTCCCCAGTTCACCTCTGCTTCCAACGCGCCGCCAAAGCTTCAGCGGGCCGTGTGAGCAGCTTGGCACCATGGGTAATTAGTGTGATGAATGCTGCGGCGGCACAAATAGTGGCAGTGGGCTGTCTCGGTGATGGTGCGGCGGCGCTGACAGAACTCTGGGCTCATCAGGGAAATGGATGGTTCTCCTCCAACAGGACCTTCTCTCGACCAACAACACACGCTCCTGGGCTGCATTTCTTCACCTCTGCTTTTTAACGGACTGAGGCTGTGGCTGGTATTGAAAGTCAAGTGCATTTGTACCTGACTTGGGGATGTCTGGAGCCAGAAAGACGTCAATAATAACGAGCAAGACCATGCCAGAGTGTGCTTCAAGAGTTAATAACACGTGTGCACTGCAAAAAATTACAAAATATTAGGTAAAAAATGCTTCAATCAAGGGTTTTTGTCTTATTTTGAGTGTATTCTGACTGTCTTAAAACAATGGAACTAGCTGTTTGGTCTTATGTCCATTGCTGCTGCAATATATTTCATACATTTCTTGAATTTTCTTGTATCTTTTTAAAACAAGTTTTTAGAGCAGTCAAAATGTGCTCAGATGATGATAAAAACACTGGATTTAAGCATTTCTTTCCTTATTTTTTGTTATTTTTAAGCCAGAAAGAAGTCAATAATAACGAGCAAGACCATGCCACACTGCAAAAAGTGACAAAACATAAGTTGATAAATGCTTGAATCAAGTCTTTTTATCTTATTTTCAGTATATTTTGACTTTCTTAAAACAAGATTTGCCGATGGAAAGAGTTATTTGATCTTTTTTAAAGCGCTGTTGTTGATTTTTGTCTCATTTTAAGGGAGATATTTCTTGATTTGTCTTGTATCGTTTTAAAACAAGACATTTTTGCTCGTCCCAGTGACAGATTTTGTTTTTAGGCTGTCAAAATGTGCGAAATTAAGATAAAACCACTTGATTCAAGCATTTATTACCTTATATTCTCATTTTTTGCGGTGCAGAGTGTGCTTCAAGAGTTAATAATACACATGCACTGCAAAAAATGACAAAATAGAAGGTAAAAAATGCTTCAATCAATGGTTTTTGTCTTAATTTGAGTTTATTCTGACTGTCTTAAAACAATGGAACTAGCTGTTTGGTCTTATTTCAAGTACTGCTGCAATATATTTCTAATTCCAAGGAAGACATTTCTTGAATTGTCTTGTATCTTTAACATGTATGGACATTTATCATGGACATTGGTCTCACCTTATCGACGAACTCGTATGTCTATTTTCTGTGTTTTAACTGTTGATTCTCTGATCTGTGTTGGTGATTTCAATGGTTTTGTTAAGTCTCTGAGATGACTTCTGTTGTGATTTAGGGCTATACAAGAATAAGTTGTGTTGTATTGTATTGTATCTTTTTAAAACGAGACCTGTTTGCTCATCCCAATGGAAAATCTGGTTTTTAGACAGTCAAAATGTGCTCTAATGAAGATTAAAAACACTGGATTTAAGCATTAATTTCCTTATTTTTGGTTATTTTTTGCAGTGTGTTTGTGTGTTTTCCTGTCCCCGCAGCCTCTGAGGAATGCGTATATGGATATGCAAACTTCTCTGTATCAATCCTCGGTGGGATTCGTGCTCCATTCCTGGGGTGCAGTGCCGATGTCGTTGAAATGATGGATCACATTATTAGATTAGAGTAGAACAAGGACAGCCTGCAACTGGATTTGCAATTCACATCCTCTTTTGTATATGTACCTCCTCTGCATGAAGAGGATAATTGGGCCGTTGTCACTGAGTCAGAGAATGTTTTTAACAACGCAGAGAACCTCGCGATAAATCAGGTCAGCAGCTGTCGAGCCACGTCACAAGACCAGGCATTAGTCACATGCAGAATGATCCCTTTGCATGGAGCAGAGACACAGATATATCATCATTTATTCGCACCGTGGCATGTCCGGATATTCTAATTTTCTAACAAATGAAGGGAATATGGTGATTGTGTGTGCTGGGGAAAGCAAAGGGCAAGGCCAGCTGTGAGTCTCTGAGGCCTGGGTCTTTGTGTTGTCGTTCCAACACCAGCTAATGGCCTGTGCTTACGCTGTGCCTTGACTTTTCAACCCACAGTGACAGTGAAGAATACAGAGCACGGAGCAGGGAATCCAGTGCCATGTCATCCGTGTGGCAGAAGGCGAAGAGGCCGGCTTCTGCAGACACATAATCCATAGTGAAATCATCTCAGGTAAGTTCAGTGAGCCGTATGAATCGGAAAGACACCCACAGCTAACAGGCTATGAGAGGCAGCAAAGGTCTCTCAGAGGTTAGACGTGGTGCATGGGCCGAGACTTTGGGACGGCTCTGTCAGGGCTGAAGAATCCTCAGGTCATTGTGAAGAAATGTGGAAGACACATTTCTCTGTCAGTTCACAGAGAGCCCACACAGTTGAGGCTTTTGCCGTTAAGTCCCAAGTCACTGAGTCAATAGCCAACGTACATGACACAACCTCTCACAGTCACTTGGCATCAAGAGGAACATGGAATGGCATGCTTTCCATCTCACTGCACAGTGGCCGGGCCAGGACCCCGTGTGCACTGCAGAAACAGGAGCCAATGGCCTGGACTCATGAGAAGAGGTTCAAACGTGGCCAAACGCTGCTCCCTCATTGCACCAGTACAAGGTGATTCACCGGTCAATCTGCAGCGCGGCTATTATCTGCAGTGTAGGCTGAGAGGGGGGCAGAGGGGAGGCAGAGGGGGGGCAGAGGGGAGGCTGAGGGGAGGCTGAGGGGAGGCAGAGGAGAGGCTGAGGGGAGGGGAGGCAGAGGGGAGGCAGAGGGGAGGCTGAGGGGAGGGGAGGCAGAGGAGAGGCTGAGGGGGGAGGGGAGGCAGAGGGGAGGCTGAGGGAAGGCAGAGGGGAGGCAGAGGGGAGGCTGAGGGAAGGCAGAGGGGAGGCAGAGGGGAGGCTGAGGGGAGGCAGAGGGGAGGCAGAGGAGAGGCTGAGGGGAGGCTGAGGGGAGGCTGAGGGGAGGCAGAGGGGAGGCTGAGGGGAGGCAGAGGGGAGGGTGAGGTGAGGGGAGGCAGAGGGGAGGCTGAGGGGAGGGGAGGCAGAGGGGAGGGTGAGGTGAGGGGAGGCAGAGGGGAGGGTGAGGGGGGGCTGAGGGGAGGCAGAGGGGAGGCTGAGGGGAGGGGAGGCAGAGGGGAGGCTGAGGGGAGGGTGAGGTGAGGGGAGGCAGAGGGGAGGCTGAGGGGAGGCAGAGAGGAGGCTGAGGGGAGGCTGAGGGGAGGCAGAGGGGAGGGTGAGGTGAGGGGAGGCAGAGGGGAGGCTGAGGGGAGGGGAGGCAGAGGGGAGGCAGAGGGGAGGCAGAGGGGGGGCAGAGGGGAGGCTGAGGGGAGGTTGAGGGGAGGCAGAGGAGAGGCTGAGGGGAGGCTGAGGGGAGGCTGAGGGGAGGCAGAGGAGAGGCTGAGGGGAGGGGAGGCAGAGGGGAGGCAGAGGGGAGGCTGAGGGGAGGCTGAGGGGAGGGGAGGCAGAGGGGAGGCAGAGGAGAGGCTGACGGGAGGCTGAGGGGAGGCAGAGGAGAGGCTGAGGGGTGGCAGAGGGGAGGCCGGGGGGAGGCAGAGGGGAGGCTGAGGGGAGGGGAGGCAGAGGGGAGGCTGAGGGGAGGCAGAGAGGAGGCTGAGGGGAGGCTGAGGGGAGGCAGAGGGGAGGCCGGGGGGAGGCCGAGGATAACCAGGGGCTAGGATGACAGGATATTAGATCATGGCAAAGCACAAGCTCATTTCGATTAAACCCATGTCAGGATTTATCTTCTCTGCAGTGATTTAAAGAGGAAAACGTGACCTGATGTTGGTCCAAGGGTCGCAGAGAAACCAAGGGGTCAGGAAGAGCAGCAGGAAACAAACTGGACAAAACACAAGCATGATTCAATAGCCTTTTGGCAAATAAAAATATTATATTTAATATATGTACAATAAACATACAATCATGAATCTTTTCAAGAATATACACATCATACACTTATGTTTTAAATAGAAATCCATGTTACAAAAAGAATAAAAGCAATAAAGCTTATCTGAACTCCGTAGTAATGCTCTGAAAAAATAGGTGATATCTTCATATTTCAGTGCCCTTATTGTTTTCGATGATCTTGCAAGAGCTGTGAAATGCACACTTTGAATATCACCCATACCAGACTAAGCAACACAGCACTCCCACCGCCCCCACATGGTTCTCACATGGTGCTTCGATCAAAGGCAACATGCATGCCGGCTTGAACCAAAACATAGGTTCTCTTCCAAAATAGCATCCATTAGCTAAATATATTATCAAATTAAAGGGTAATCATGATTCATCTATTTACAAGAGAGCTACTCAATTCAAAGTAAACTATTGTCGGCAGTTAACTCTTCAATATACAATTCTTGATTAATAAAATGTTACTTTCTGCAACCACAAGGCAAGCTCATCAAAAAAAATAAACATTTAATGTCTGTAAAACAAGAATGCTGAACACAAGGCAAATATTAGAAGCACATTTCGGTGCCAAATGAAACAGTCCTGTCAGCGCAGCATAAACAAACCCCATGGAGCGAGCGCAGTCTCGGGTCGGCCTCTGTGGTCCACGGTGATATGGCACAAGAACGCCTCCACCAAAACAAAGAGGAGAACATGGAATTCAGGCACAGAGCAAGGGTCTGTGAAGAGTCTCTGACCAGGCCTTCTCTACTCGGTCTAAACTCAGGCTGGTTCACTTGTTTTTAACAGCTATAACATACTAAACAATTCTGATGTCTACTGGTAGATATACAATATTTTATAGAAACTTTTCCTTGTGATATGGATTCAAGAAGTTGAAGGATATCACAGATACACAGAACTGTCTGAGCTGGACGGTACTGGACACAGCGTCACTCTGATGGAACTACTATGTACAGAACACGGAACAGCAAACTGCAAAGACCCGCCTCTCCTGCCTCCAGTTGGAAACCTCCCCCTTTGGAATCCACATTTCATTTCTCTTCATCTTCAAACACAGACTATAGTAAACTACGGGTACATCTACTCGCACTCATCTGCTGTGAGCTTAAAAACTTTGGCTTTGCTCTATCAATAGGTCTAGGTCCAATGTTCTTGAAATACTTTTTGAAGGAAGTGTGGTGTGGTTAAAACACACATGGCGCTAAAACGTAACGGTGTGTACTGCAAAAGCAACTAGAAGCAGTAATAATAAGTATAATACTGTAATAATTATATAAGCCTTTCATTTGACCATCAACCATTCTTTCAAAATCTGACCATAAACTGAACAAGTTGGAGGTTGTGGCAGTCAAATTGCATATGACAGGTGTACATGGTCCTCTAATTATGACTTTGGTGGGAGATAATGTGTTTTTTCAATATTCCTCATAGTTTTCCATCCGTCTAATGGTCGTCTGTGTCATAAATAAAGCAAGTTTCAGGAGCTAGAGCTGATTTTAGACCAGAAATCCTCCCGTCATTGATACACACATTTACACACAAGGTTTCCAACAGTTTGAACTCAAGAAATTAGGGTGTCATACATGTTCTATTGTCATTACGGATCCTGAATGAGAGTTCACGCACAGTTTAGCAGTGGGACCTGTCATATGCACTTTCAGTCGTCAAGAGTGTTATAAAAATGTGTTTTCTCGTGCATGCATCGGTGGCATGCTTTGATAATTGTGGTTGGGCAGTGTGCATCATGCAGCCTGTTGTCTGTGATCCACTAAATGTTTCTGCGTGTGCTGTCTTTGCTGATGCTGCGGTGATACAGTGGCGCCTCTACGCTCGGACGTATCACATGCATACCGCTGCAGGACGCTCCTTTTGCACTGCCACGACTGTTTCCGTCAGAATTAGGAGGTGGCTGTAATCAGTGTTTGCAGAGATGTGAACTTTATGTCAGTTTGAAGCTCGTCATTAAAAACACTGATGCTGCTGTTTTCGCTCACGTTAGATTTCTTCATGAGGCAAAGTAAACGGTGATGATGTGATGGATGCGGAAAATAGGAGTAAAGGGATAATAACAGAGCAACCTTCAGCAAACTAATGCCTTTAGAAGAACAGTCCTGGACGTAGAAAAGGCCCCCACCAGAATGTGCGATAAAGTAACTCTGGAAATATCAAAATCACTCGTTGGCTCAGAAGACGGGGCACGAGAAGCAATTTGTTCACGGACACGTACTTGTGCACCTTCCTTCAAACTTAAACATTCTTTCATGAAATGGAATTACATGTTTCTAGACTCATATAGGTGTGGGTCAAGTAAATACATCTTTTACGTAAGTTTAAAGCATATTCAAAAATAAAAAGCAGCATAAATAAGGCTTAAATCTCCTTTTGTGAAAGTGCACTATGACAAAAATGTTTTCAAACCTTTATCAAAAAGATTTTCTAAACCTTTGAATTTCCTCTCTGAGAACAATTGCACCTGAGAAGTACTTCTTTCTAAATGAAAGAAATAGTTTAATAAACTAAAACAAATACAACAAAGATTTCTAAGAACAAAAATACTGAAGGGCATCTGGCTTCATAAGAGCTGTGACAAAGCTACAGGTACATCTGAAGAATATCGGGGCCGGAGTTTGGACCCGGTCCTGGGCTCAGTCTCTGGTGCAGACTATAAAACGGACTCCATGTTGTCACTGCTCTCATGGTCCTCCAGGTTATAAATGTACTTTGTCCTGTTGTTCGGGTCGATGGCCATGTCTTTGCCCAAATTGTCCAGAGTGACGTTGGAAGAGAAGAGTTCAGTGGGGGTCAGGTAGCCCTCGCTGTTCTTGATGTACTTCCTGTAGTTCTTCCGCAGACACTGCCATGTGGTGGCGTACAGCAAGAAGGCGGACGACTTGAGCACGATGGCGATACTCACATACAGATGTCTGTACGACACGTTGTCATACAGCATGCAGGCACCTTTCTCCCCACACACAGAGCTCCAGAACAGACAGGTGGAGTCGATGCCCATCCCAAAGATCAGCGGAGGAGGGATGAAGCCTAAGGCACAGAGGGACATCGTCAAGTCAAAGGTCCAGTCAGAGAGTGTCAAAGGCCCGGGCAGAGAGAGTCAAAGGTCCAGTCAGAGAGCGTCAAAGGTCCAGTCAGAGAGCGTCAAAGGCCCGGGCAGAGAGAGTCAAAGGTCCAGTCAGAGAGCGTCAAAGGTCCAGTCAGAGAGCGTCAAAGGTCCAGACAGAGAGAGCGTCAAAGGTCCAGACAGAGAGAGCGTCAAAGGTCCAGTCAGAGAGCGTCAAAGGTCCAGTCAGAGAGTGTCAAAGGTCCAGTCAGAGAGCGTCAAAGGTCCAGTCAGAGAGCGTCAAAGGTCCAGACAGAGAGAGCGTCAAAGGTCCAGTCAGAGAGCGTCAAAGGTCCAGTCAGAGAGTGTCAAAGGTCCAGTCAGAGAGCGTCAAAGGTCCAGTCAGAGAGCGTCAAAGGTCCAGTCAGAGAGCGTCAAAGGTCCAGACAGAGAGCGTCAAAGGTCCAGTCAGAGAGCGTCAAAGGTCCAGACAGAGAGAGCGTCAAAGGTCCAGTCAGAGAGCGTCAAAGGTCCAGACAGAGAGCGTCAAAGGTCCAGACAGAGAGAGCGCGTGAAAGGTCCAGTCAGAGAGCGTCAAAGGTCCAGACATAGAGCGTCAAAGGTCCAGTCAGAGAGCGTCAAAGGTCCAGACGGAGAGAGCGTCAAAGGTCCAGTCAGAGAGCGTCAAAGGTCCAGACATAGAGCGTCAAAGGTCCAGACAGAGAGCGTCAAAGGTCCAGTCAGAGAGCGTCAAAGGTCCAGACAGAGAGAGCGTCAAAGGTCCAGTCAGAGAGCGTCAAAGGTCCAGTCAGAGAGTGTCAAAGGTCCAGTCAGAGAGCGTCAAAGGTCCAGTCAGAGAGCGTCAAAGGTCCAGTCAGAGAGCGTCAAAGGTCCAGACAGAGAGCGTCAAAGGTCCAGTCAGAGAGCGTCAAAGGTCCAGACAGAGAGAGCGTCAAAGGTCCAGTCAGAGAGCGTCAAAGGTCCAGACAGAGAGCGTCAAAGGTCCAGACAGAGAGAGCGTGAAAGGTCCAGTCAGAGAGCGTCAAAGGTCCAGACATAGAGCGTCAAAGGTCCAGTCAGAGAGCGTCAAAGGTCCAGACGGAGAGAGCGTCAAAGGTCCAGTCAGAGAGCGTCAAAGGTCCAGACATAGAGCGTCAAAGGTCCAGACAGAGAGCGTCAAAGGTCCAGACAGAGAGCGTCAAAGGTCCAGTCAGAGAGTGTCAAAGGTCCAGACATAGAGCGTGAAAGGTCCAGACAGAGAGCGTCAAAGGTCCAGACAGAGAGCGTCAAAGGTCCAGACAGAGAGCGTCAAAGGAGTGAGTGAGTGAGTGAAAGGGAGAGTACACACACAGATGGGAGAGCTGAGAGAGGGGAGAGAGGAGGAGAGAGGGGAGAGGGGAGAGAGGAGAGAGGAGGAGGAGGAGAGAGGAGAATGGATGGGATCGCTGAAGTACAAACCTTTTCAAACTTTGTATCTTATGATTTGCTTGTTTCTGTAAATATTCACGTGTTTCACATTTTCTGTGTGGAATTTGCATATTCTCCCTGTGTCTATATTTCCTCCACGTGCTCTGGTTTCCCCCTCTGTCTGAAAGTGAATCTGAAATCTGGACTGTTTTCCGAGGCTTTCACAAATGATTTCAGGCTCAGTGTAAGAGTCAGTCTGAGGTTTGTTCTTACCTATAAGTCTGAGGAGCAGGAACAACACTCCCAAGGCATAGGACTTCAGCTCAGGGCTTACAGTTCTAAGGACAGAAACAATTACACATCACATTATTAGTGACTCAAATAATAAACAGAAAGTGTGTCTTCAGCTGCAGAGTGACAGTGTATGAATGGGACAACAGCTCCCCCGTGTGGCCAGACAGCAGTAGCACAGCAGAGGTCTGACCTGATGAGGATGATGACGGAGGGGGTCTGGGCCATAGCTCCGATCATGCTGCACACACAGATTATAGAGAGGAAGGTGAGGAAGGCCTGCTGACAGCCCGGGCTTGGACACTTCCCCGGTAAAGCCACAGCGTCCTCACTGCTGCCGGACACACACATGCAGCTTGTCAGGTTCTGGAAGGAAAGATTGCCGTGTTAAAATGGAGACAGAAAAGAACCTTCACTTCACATGTTAGCGTCATTAGTACGGTGGTCTTACACGTTGGGTGCAGCCAGCGAAGCAAGCTGAGAGATAAGTGACTCCATTGGAGCCGCACACAGGACTGACCGAGGCGGTGTAGCAGTTACAGTTACTGATGCATGCGGACTCCGGCCTCTGCCATGAATGTAACGTCCTGTGGGAACAAACAAGCTATTATCTGCCAGCACCAGGGCATAAACCTCAGCAAAGCTTTCTTACTCAAATTCTTCATCATAATCATTTCTAAAATAAAAAACATTGCAAGATAAAACAAATTGTTAAAGCCTAGTTTATACTTGCGCAGCGCGGAGCTTACGGAGGTGACGTGACGTCACTTGCGCAACGCGTTGGTCACCGCAAGGCCCTTACGTCGCCTGCCGCGCAGCATCGAAATTACTACGTAAGGGTCGCCGCAAGGAAGCTCCGCTGTGATTGGTCCGTGTGTGTGTATTGGAAGGAAGCACGGAGCGGCTGCAGCAGGAGCATGGACGAGGCACTATGGAGCAGAGAGCTTTGTGCTTCGAAGGAAAAGGAGTTTGGGCTCAGAGCCTGATATACAGGAGACTGTGGACTATCTAACATATATATAACTTATATCTAACATATATATAACTTATATCTAACATATATATAACTTATATCTAACATATATATAACTTATATCTAACATATATATAACTTATATCTAACATATATACACTCGTAAATCGTTCATGTTTGTCTCAGATATTTACCACTATTATTGTTTTGCTGTTTGTGCTGAAAACTATTTAATAATAACTATGTTTCCAACAAGAACTGTGTCTTTATTCACAGCATCACAGTTGAAATGACTTATAAAATAATGAATCCATAAAACTATTACATAAACCTACAGTAGAAACACGTGTAATGAGCTCAAACAGCTTTGTTTGTTATTGTTGTTCTGAAGAGGACAAAGTAGCAGCGTAAATGGGACCGCTCCTGTGTGATCGCCCTCATGTGGTTTGTTGTGGGATTACAACATTCTCCTCAAAACTCCGTAAGGAGAACGCGCCAGTATAACATCAATTGTGCTTACGTAGGTCCACCGCAACCGCTAACGTAAGCCACGCCGCGCAAGTATACACCAGGCATAAAGGTTTATTGGCTAAAACAGCTGATCCCGCTCTTCATGTGTATCTTTAGTGCGATTTTCTGATGATAATATCAGATTCTGTCTCTCACAAGAGAAATGTGTTTTGGACAGGGACAAACATACTTCATACAGACACAACAACTACTATACTATAAAAGCTTTAAATAGATTTTTATCTTGTCTGTGTATAATGTACTGTATATATACTATATATACTACTACATTTATATAGTTTCATAATAAACTCTACTTGGCAAAGACTACTGTAGTACTTACTCATTGACATATGCAATAGTAACTCCAGCCACAGGCCCAGTATCACAGCCCAGAAACAGGAAGGACACATAACAGGCGGTGGAGATGAGGTTGACCAGCATGGCCATGCGCACAGCCCCCAGCGCAGACAGGTTCAGCTTCTTCACCAACAGACCCCCCAGGAAGATCCCCAGACAGGCACACGGGATGGCTGTCATACCTGCACCCAGAGACCAACGCCATTCACAATAACTCTGAAGTACATTCCTCCTACTGTTACAGAAGCAATATGTAAATCTTCATGTCTGTCATCATTAAAGGGCCCTAATCTGTCTTCATTAAAGGGCCCTAATTTGTCATCATTAAAGGGCCCTAATCTGTCTTCATTAAAGGGCCCTAATTTGTCATCATTAAAGGGCCCTAATCTGTCATAATAATAACCTGCTCTTTTCCAATACTTCTTTAACTGAAAACAGTCCATCCATCCATCCATTTTCTACCCTTTAATCCATTTCTGGGTCAGGGGGGTGGCAGTCAGAGATGCCACCCAAGTCTCATAGCACCAGCCCCTCACTGACCCTCTGCAGGTGGTGAGTCCACAGGAGGACGGCTGCTCTCTGAGTGTGAGCATAGCCTTGATCTTTCAGTGGGGGCTTTGGGCAAAGTGGGGTTAAGTGTCTTGCCCAAGGACACAACGACAGCAGTCATCAGTGGGAGTCGGTGGAGAAGGTGCAGAGGTGGGAATTGAACCCACGACCTTCTGGGCTTAAGGCCAATGCTCTACCAACTGAGCTACTGTTGCCCCGAGCCCCTAAATCTTGTTATTGTTTTCATTTTGATGTCCCGCCCTCCACCGTTTCACCAATCAGAAAGTCTGTGATCGGGCGCCAGAACTCACCGTGTGGAGCTAATCTCACTGGTAAAGTACCATGTGGCGCAGAATTAAAAAAGGTCTCATTATGATTCTCAAATCATTAGATTCAGATTCAGATTCATTTATTTGCGATTTGCAGTAAAACCACATTGGAAAAACTGTGCAAGACTACCCCAGTGTGCACCAGACAATGCAATAGACAAGGAATAAAACCAGGATTTCTATCTTTGTGAAAAAGGTGTTGGTTATAGATTTGTTGTTGACTAAACTCTTGTCTATTCAGCTGTTATGGTCCCAGCTGGATTCGTCTGCATATCTGGCAACCTGAGTCAGGGAGAGTGGGAGAGGCTGCAGTACCACTTTTGGCCAGAATTGTACATACATTTTGAAGCTACTACTGATTGTGTTTCTCGACAATAGTGACACACACATCTGGACCTTCTTACCAAGCAGCTGATTGGCTGAGGAGGTTGTTAGATTAAACTGCTGCTCCAAGTATTTCCCCAAGAAGGCAGCGAAGCCAGCGACAACCGCGATCTCCATGCACGCTGCCAGTGCGATGCAACTGAACACTGGGTTGGAGAGAAGATGCCTGGTCACCCGCGGTATTACTGCACACACAAGAACAAAGTCTATTACACACACAAAGTGAAGTAGATTAAGATTTAGAGCACAGCAAAAGAAAAGTAAATAATAGCTATACTAATTAAAATAAAACAAATCTCTAACTCTAGCATCAAATAACAAGTATAAAATCTATATCTGGAAATAAATAATAATAAAAAAATAGTATAAAAGTATAAAGTACTGTGTATTCTAGTGCAAGCAATGTGTTAGCATCTGTAAATAACTAATAGTTTATGTAAGAGCATCTGTAGCATCAACATTACATATTGATGCTACAGATGTTACATACAGTGCATCCGGAAAGTATTCACAGCGTTTCACTTTTTCCTTGCTTAATACTTTGTTGATGCACCTTTGTCAGCAATTACAACCTGAAGTCTTTTTGACTATGATGCCACAAGCTTGGCAGACCTGTCTTTGGGCAGTTTTGGCCCATTCCTCTTTGCAGCACCTCTCAAGCTCCATCCAGTTGGACGGGGAGTGTCGGTGCACAGCCATTTTCAGATCTCTCCAGAGATGTTCAGTTGGATTCAAGTCTGGGCTCTGGGCCACTCCAGGACATTCACAGAGTTGTCCTGAAGCCACTTCTTTGTTATCGTGGCTGTGCTTAGGGTCGTTGTCCTGCTGAAAGATGAACCGTCGTCCCAGTCTGAGGTCAGAGGCAGGTTTTCATCCAGGATGTCTCTGTACATTGCTGCATTCATCTTTCCCTCTATCTTGACTAGTCTCCCAGTTCCTGCCGCTGAAAAACATCCCCACAGCATGATGCTACCACCCCCATGCTTCACTGTAGGGATGGTATTGGCTTGGTGATGAGCCTGGTTTCCTCCAAACATGATGCCTGGCATTCACGCCAAAGACTTCAATCTTTGTCTCATCAGACCAAAGAATGTTTTTACTCATGGTCAGAGAGTCTTTCAGGTGCCTTTTGGCAAACTCCAGGCGGGCTGCCATGCGCCTTTTACTAAGGAGCGGCTTCCGTCTGATTACTCTAACATACAGGCCTGATTTGTGGATTGCTGCAGAGATGGTTGTCCTTCTGGAATGTTCTCCTCTCTCCACAGAGGAACGCTGGAGCTCTGACAAAGTGACCATGGGGTTCTTAGTCACCTCCCTGACCTCCCCCGATCGCTCAGTTCAGAGGCCGGCCAGCTCTAGGAAGAGTCCTGGTGGTTCTTCTTGCATTTACGGATGATGGAGGCCGCTGTGCTCATTGGGACCTTCAAAGCAGCAGAAATGTTTCTGTTCCGTCCCCAGACTTGTGCCTCGAGACAATCCTGTTTCAGAGGTCTACAGACCTTTGACTTCATGCTTGGTTTGTGCTCTGACATGCACTGTCCACTGTGGGACCTTATATATACAGGTGTGTGCCTTTCTGTGGGACCTTATATATACAGGTGTGTGCCTTTCTGTGGGACCTTATATATACAGGTGTGTGCCTTTCTGTGGGACCTTATATATACAGGTGTGTGTGCCTTTCTGTGGGACCTTATATATACAGGTGTGTGTGCCTTTCTGTGGAACCTTATATATACAGGTGTGTGCCTTTCTGTGGGACCTTATATATACAGGTGTGTGTGCCTTTCTGTGGAACCTTATATATACAGGTGTGTGCCTTTCTGTGGGACCTTATATATACAGGTGTGTGCCTTTCTGTGGGACCTTATATATACAGGTGTGTGCCTTTCTGTGGGACCTTATATATACAGGTGCGTGCCTTTCTGTGGGACCTTATATATACAGGTGTGTGCCTTTCTGTGGGACCTTATATATACAGGTGTGTGCCTTTCTGTGGGACCTTATATATACAGGTGTGTGTGCCTTTCTGTGGGACCTTATATATACAGGTGTGTGTGCCTTTCTGTGGAACCTTATATATACAGGTGTGTGCCTTTCTGTGGGACCTTATATATACAGGTGTGTGCCTTTCTGTGGGACCTTATATATACAGGTGTGTGTGCCTTTCTGTGGGACCTTATATATACAGGTGTGTGCCTTTTTGTGGGACCTTATGTATACAGGTGTGTGCCTTTTTGTGGGACCTTATATATACAGGTGTGTGCCTTTCTGTGGGACCTTATATATACAGGTGTGTGCCTTTTTGTGGGACCTTATGTATACAGGTGTGTGCCTTTTTGTGGGACCTTATGTATACAGGTGTGTGCCTTTCTGTGGACCTTATATATACAGGTGTGTGCCTTTCTGTGGGACCTTATATATACAGGTGCGTGCCTTTCTGTGGGACCTTATATATACAGGTGTGTGCCTTTCTGTGGGACCTTATGTATACAGGTGTGTGCCTTTCTGTGGACCTTATATATACAGGTGTGTGTCTTTCCAAATCAAGTCCAATCCACTGAATGTACCACAGACTCCAATGAAGCAGCAGAAGCATCTCAGGAGGATCCGTGGAAACAGGAGCCACGTGAGATATGCTTTGAGCTTCAGGGCAAAGGCTGTGAATACTTATGTGCATGTGATTTATTAGTTTTCTATTTTTATTACGTTTACAAAAATCTCTCAAAAAAATGTTTTCGTGTTGTCATTATGGTGTGAAATTTTAAGTGAAATAAAATGAATTGAATCCATTTTGGAATAAGGCTCTAACAAAACAAAATGTGAAAAAATGAAAGCGCTGTGAATACTTTCCGGATGCACTGTATGTTTGTGTGTAGCATCAATATGTACTAGCACCTGTAAATATGTTTACATCTGTACAGTAGCAGCATGAGGCTCTGGTGTGAGTGTGGACTGTGTACATGCAGAAGTATTTTAAGCTACAGAACTCATGCAAAGTGCAGTTTTCCTGCTCATACAGAATGTTCCGGTACCTCGCAGGTGCTGGCACACGGAGAGGCCACTGTTTACGTCACAGCCATGAGTGGTTCCTTTGGGTCGGTCCAGAGTGAGAGCGGAGGGCAGCATGGCCTGCTCGCTCTCCCCTCCAGAGTCTTGCTCGTCCAGGGTCTGGGGGAAGCCGAACATGAAGAGAGCAGACAGGAAGAGTAAGGCACTGCACAGGAGGAAGCCCGCCCACCACGCCCCGATCCAGCGAGGGTCGTCGGGAGTGATGTCCAGCGTGCCTGAGGACAGCACACAACCACCGTTAATGTACCGCACGTAACACCCCATGTTTATATATTTATTTAATTATTCATTCATTTATTTATTTAATTAATTATTCATTTATTCATGTATTTATTCACTTATTTATTTATTTATATATTTATTCAATTATTAATTTATTTATTCATGTATTTTTTTATTTATTTTTTCATTTATTTTGTGTATATTTATCTATGAATTAATTAATTCATTTATTCATTTGTTTATTTGTTTATTCTTTCTTTCATTTTTTATTTTTTTTATTTTTTTATTTAAATTGTGGACATGACAATACATCACACATAACATTTCAAATAATTGTCGTCTTGTCACACAAATGAAAAGGAGCAGAAAGAAGAACAAAATCTCATGTTTCCTGCGCCTTTCCTCAAATAAGTACAAATTAAATAAAATAAAAAATCAAAAAATCAAAATACAGTACTGAGCTGGGACACACCTCACTCTAGGGCTGAAACAACTAATCGATTAATCGACGACTAATCGATTAATCGACGACTAATCGATTAATCGACGACTAATTGATTATTGAAATAGTCAACAACTATTTTAGTAATCGATTAATCGTTTTCTGGTTCACACGGACTCAAACAGAGCAAAAATGACATGAAAATGTAGTATTTTTGATTAAAACCGACTTTGTTTTTATAATTTCATGAATATCTGTCTGTCTCATCCAATCAGAGCAGAATTAGCACAAAGAGCCTGTTACAAACATTTACTTTAAGTTTACGCCTCAATACGTCCTCGGGTGTTGCCACTTTAGCTTTTTGTGATGAAAAAATAATTTTTTTCCACACAATTCACAGCCAAGCGATTACTCGATTAATCGTAAAAATAATCGATAGATTAATCGATTACGAAATAATCGTTAGTTGCAGCTCTACCTCGCTCCCATCTCTGTGTGGAGTGAGACACAAAAGGCCTAAAAAACAACAATTGTAAAGCGCTTTGGGACTCTGGTGTGTGAACGGCGCTATATAAAAGATGACTTACTTACATTGTTTTTGTTTTGTTTTTTTGATTAGATTCTACTTTATGGACATTACTCAGTCGGAACAATGCAACAACATGCAGTTCCGAATCTTGCCAGTAGTGGGCGACAGTGTCTCAGTTGGTAGAGCATTGGCCTCTGATCCTGAAGGTTGTGGGTTTGAGCCCACCGCAAGACCTTCTTCACCGACCCCCACTGATGCCTGCTGTCGTTGTGTCCTTGGGCAAGACACTTCACCCGTATATACTAACAACAGCAGCTTTATACAGTTTGACACATATTTAGTTATCTGTGTTGCTGATGTCTGCTATGAGACTTGGGTGGCATCTCTGATTGCCACCCCCCTGACCCAGAAATGGATTAAAGGGTAGAAAATGGATGGATGGATGTGTTGTAAATCTTTTTCTTCACTTGCACTATTGCACTAAGAAGAAGAAGAAGAAGAAGGTCCTTGATTCAACCCACAGTGCGGAAATGTCAATTTGATGAATACACATACTTTTGTGTACTTTTTTCATTGATTCCCTCAAGCTTTAGTTAGGGATCGATCTTTCTCTTTCAGTCTCCAGAGGCCCAAAAACGGCCTGAGCACATTTTCACACCTTACACGGACTCCAGAAGCCCCGCCCCCAGGAGGTGATTGACAGGAGAGAGAAACCAAGACAGCCAATCAGTGCGCACAGCCTTTCCCAGCATATGGACCCGCTCCTACGGTCTGTGTTCACTTTTGTGCGGTTTTTCTGCTATTGTGATGCTAAAAGTGTTAGCATCACGTCAACTTGGAGTGTTTTGAGTGTTGTATTTTGTATCACCCAAATTATAATCACACATGTGCTTAGGATGGACTGTGAAAAATGAAGAAAAGTGAAATGTAATGTCTTGTAAAAGTAAAATGTTGTGAACAAATCAGACCACAACATTTATATTTATTAAAAATGTGATCTCTGCACACTTCCCTTGTCACGATTTGACTATTTTTTTTTATTTTCTGTCTGAAAAAGCTGATCTAAAGACAAAAATACACACACACACACAAACTGATAGAATCTAGTTTCCACATCCATTGGTTTGTGTCGTTTAAGAGGAGAATAGAGTTTAAAACAGCTCTGGTTGGTCCAAGTCTCTCCACGGCCTCGCAACAAAGAAGGAAAGGGACATGTTAGAACCATAAGTGCACAGGGACTGGCCTCCTGCTGGGACTCTGAGGAGCACAGGGACTAGTAAGTAAGTAATCTTTATTTATATACCGCCTTTTCACTGCGGAGTCGGAGTCTCAAAGCGGTTTACAATTGTTATTTTTGGGAGCGGGGCCAGTACAGGAGGCACATGCCAGACCTATTGTACATATTTTTAGTGGTAGGGGAAACCGGAGCACCCGGAGGAAACCTACGCAGACACGGGGAGAACATGCAAACTCCACTCAGAAAGGCCCTGGTCCAACCGGGATTCGAACCCAGGACCTTCTTGCTGAGAGGCGAGAGTTCAGTGGGTTTGGACTGAAACTGGCAACAAGACTGACTCTGAAGGTGAGGTGCACTTACTGGTGTCAATGAAGACCGCATCCACATAGACTTTGGTGCAGACCGACCCCAGAATGAAGCCACACGCTGGACCAAAGACCAAGGTCGAAAACAAAATACCTGCAAAGTAAAGGAGAAAAAAAGATTAGGAGTAATACACAAACCCAAGAGAAGTTTAGTACCCATACATTGCCAGTAGGGGGCAGCATGGCGACCATTCCCACAATAATTGAGCTTTGTATTTTCCAATCCCATAAAAGCTGCATCAATAACTTTGAAATTTGTGGCTTGATGTTGCACTAAATAGATTTTCAGAGCCAATATAAAACCACAACTAATTGCCAAAAACGGGTCATAAACAGGAAATGGGCTTTGATATTGGCCGTGTCTAGCGTTTTAGTGGTTGCATTTGAGATTGTGTTGCAGTAAAAGCATAGTGATGTTTGGACGCGGTAAGAACAACAAGAGTTTAGCCCAGTGCTGCTGCTTTACACTTCCCGGATGAGAAGCGGTCGATACTCTTCTGAAGGATGCAATCATTAGTGCTTTATCACCACTCCTAAATCTCAGAGACAAACAGCATTCTTCAAATTGCCATCACTGCATTTCACTGCACGACAAAACGAGTCCCCAAGAAATATTGTCTCATGCTGCATGCCCCCGGGCCGCATTCAAAAAATAACTCACAATCAGCACGAATTCAAACAGGATCAATCATTTCTTTTGTTTTATAGGCTCAAAACTGAAGGAAAAGAAAAAGGTGGTAAGGGAGTAATTGCTGGATGAAGTGAGGGTATGAAGTCGCGGGTACGGGGCAGGCCCTGGGGCAGGCCCTGGGTCACGGCCGCGGATAATCTACTGCTTTGCCATCAAATCAGACACGCTCTCCACAGCTGTACTAATCCATAATGTATGTGAAGAGTGCAGGCTGGAGCACTCATGAACCGGGCCAAGTGTGGAAGCCATCTGCTCGTCAGGCGCTGCACTCAGAGCCGCCCCGCACTGCTCCTGTTGGACTGCTCCTGTTGGACTGCTCCTGTTGGACTGCTCCTGTTGGACTGCTCATGTTGGGACTGCTCCTGTTGGACTGCTCCTGTTGGACTGCTCCTGTTGGACTGCTCCTGTTGGACTGCTCCTGTTGGACTGCTCCTGTTGGACTGCGCTCCTGTTGGACTGCTCCTGTTGGACTGCTCCTGTTGGACTGCTCCTGTTGGACTGCTCCTGTTGGACTGCTCCTGTTGGGACTGCTCCTGTTGGACTGCTCCTGTTGGACTGCTCCTGTTGGACTGCTCCTGTTGGACTGCTCCTGTTGGACTGCTCCTGTTGGACTGCTCCTGTTGGACTGCTCCTGTTGGACTGCTCCTGTTGGACTGCTCCTGTTGGACTGCTCCTGTTGGACTGCTCCTGTTGGACTGCTCCTGTTGGACTGCTCCTGTTGGACTGCTCCTGTTGGACTGCTCCTGTTGGACTGCTCCTGTTGGACTGCTCCTGTTGGACTGCTCCTGTTGGACTGCTCCTGTTGGACTGCTCCTGTTGGACTGCTCCTGTTGGACTGCTCCTGTTGGACTGCTCCTGTTGGACTGCTCCTGTTGGACTGCTCCTGTTGGACTGCTCCTGTTGGACTGCTCCTGTTGGACTGTGCTTTCCTTCAAGTATCCGACCCAACCGCCCGTGTCGTTATTATCACAGTATTGTCACAGTTATTATCAGGTCGACGGGCAAAAAGTGCAGCAATGGGACGTGATAATACCATCAGTCAGAGCACAGAACACTGTCCTGCCAGAGTCTGCTTTTGTATCACATGCCAATAAAGTGTCTGTCTGTCTGTTTATCTGTCTGTCTCTCTGTCTGTCTCTCTGTCTGTCTGTCTGTATCTTTCTATCTATCTGTCTAACTGTCTATCTATCTATATCTGTCTGTCTATCTGTATATCTATCTATCCATCTATCTGTCTGTATCTTTCTATCTATCTGTCTATCTATCTATATCTGTCTGTTTATCTGTATACTGACTATCTATTATACTCCATCTATAGCCTGTCTCGTCAGAATTTATACCTGTCTCTCAGACTCAATACTTACCAAAAACACACAATAACCCTCCCACATCCACCCCCCCCCCCCCCCCCCCCCCCCCCCCCCCCCCCCCCCCCCCCCCCCCCCCCCCCCCCCCCCCTACCCACCCCCCCCCACCCCCCCCCCCCCCCCCACCCCACC